GAATTGTTGGCCTGGCTGAATAGGTGAGGTCTTCTGTTTCCCTGTAAAAGGGTTGGGGTTGCGATGATAGCAGGAAGGAATCAACTCTATTGCTGTATTGTAGGTTTTTATAAGCTGGAATCTGAGTCCCCCCCCCCCTCTGTTTAAGGTTGGTTTTTCTCTCTTAACAAAGATGGCTTCCTTCACGCCCCTCTGAAACCACTTGTCTTCTTTGTCCAAAATGTGAACATTCTGGTCCTCAAAAGAATGTCCGCTGTCCATAAGAAGTAGATATTCTGCAGAGTCTTGTCTCAAAGCCAAAGCAGGGCTGTTTTGGTCCACTCTATAAAGCTTTGAACTCCACGCTATTTCTGGACATTTTGAATTGAAAAAACTTCCCGGATGGGAAGAGAAACGTCTTCAAACATGGAAACAAATCCAGCGGATTGTTTTTCAACTTTTTGGGAATGACTATGACCTGAATGAGCACGTTGTCAGAGACAGCACGTAAGACTTACCACATGTAAGATTTTTGTTGCCATTGTTGGTGAGTTAAAACAACAAACAAAACAAAAACAACAAGTTTCAGTGTAGATGAAGTCCACAAAGTGCATTGTACTAAAAGGTTTTTCCACACTTTGCTCCATGGATGAGGATGGTGCTGTATATGTTAAGTTGCAAAAGTCATTTTGGAGGCCTTGGGGGGATTGGGTGTGAAATAGAGGTTATGATTAAGTTGGCCACAGTATTTAGAGGTAAATGAAAAAACAGTGCTGGGTCAGCTGTTGCGGCGGGATCTGCCAACTTGTCTGTTTCACTTCCTTGTTCAACAGCTGTCTCTGACCATGCTCTACATTTCCTCCCTACCTCTTTCCTGTTTGTTTTTATTTCTCATCCAGAACCTTTAATTCTGAAGTTTTCTCTGGATAATCTGTCTCCTTTGGGAATTTTCCTTTCTGTAATGGACTTTTGACCTCCAGGGTTTCACCGTAACCCTGACCTTTTGCTTTAATTTAACCAGCAGACTCAGGGAACAGGAGCCTCCTTAACACTAGGATCTGTGAAGGAAGAATGATTATCTGTCCTCTTCTTGTTTACCTTTGTGGATGCAGACATAGATTGGAGAACGGTTCATCTTTCAAATGGGCTTCTTTCTCTTCACCCCATTGAGTCGCTGCTTTAATGCCCATTTCTAGGAACAGAACCACAAGAAGCCCCAGAGAAGGGGCGGTTCTCAGAATTGTTTTCCACAAATCGGAGAAAGATGACTGAAGAGGTGGGGGGGGGTTGGTTGTTGGGCTACAGATGAGGTTAGAAGTGAGGCATGAACAGAAGTTTGTTTTGATAAGGGAGTCTGTTAGTGAGAAGAGGCATAACTGAAAGTTGGATAATGTCATAAGGTGGATATAATAAAATAAAAAAGCAACTTCAACAAACAAGTCTTTCCTTTTCTGTTTCCATATGGGAGCTTTGTGCCTTCATTGCTGGATCATCCAGTTACTCCCAGCTTGTTTTTTTTAATTGTTTTTAAATGAAGTGGGAAATTAGGTTTCTCAGTTCATTTGGTTAAAGGCGACTGAATTCCGGTTTAAATGAAGCCTGTAAATACATTTAAGCCGATGATTTGTTGGACAACCTTTAACAATATGACCTAGTGGACATTTAGCAGTTTAGCAACTTCATAAGAGACAAAAGACTCTCATTCTGGAGGAAAATAAACTTCCGAAGAGCGGATTAGTCATCGTAATTTGCTCTCAGGCTAAACGTCTGTCTCCTCCATCTCATTATTTATCCCTTGTGTTTTGTGGTTAAAACCCTTTGGTTACAATTACAGTCTCACCTCATAGTTAGCTTAGCGTGACACTTAGATGACGTTATCCGCTGCAAACCCAAGTTCAAATGACATCATCCTTTGAAAAGAAACCAATGCAATTAGACTTTTTACAGACGATATTGTAATTTTTACACACTAATGCCTTTTCATGTTTATTTGTTTAATCCTGTGCTAAGGGTGATTTTTCTCCAAGTAAGCATGAATGATGGTGTTTCCTTCATCGGGAGCAACGTCCACATCACTACCACGGAGTGTGTAAGTAATCTTCGAAAACTATAAAAAGAAATCTACGCAATCGAAATCTTACAATGCCTTTTTGGTATTTCTTTCTCATATGTTTTTTCCCACTTTGTAAACATGATTTGGTTTATTCTGAAACACAAATTGTTGTGTAATTTTGAAATGGAAAGGGGATCTGAAAAGTGTGGCTTGCATTGGTATTTTGCTCTCCTAAGTTGGAACTTTGCAAAAATCCTTTTTGCTGTGATTCTAGCTGGAAGGGTATTTCTCTACAGGTTTTGTGCTACATTTTTGGTAAAATGGCTCAGTTTCATTTGAGTTGATCTGCTAAACAAATCCCCATCCCCACAGGATGATGCTGCCTCTGTCATGGAAATGCAGTGTTAGGTTTCTGCTTTTTGTACATGTGGGAACAAAAAGTTCCCCCCCTTGCTGTCCTCCTCTTTCTCTGACTGTGACTAACTGGATGTGCTCTCTTCATCCTCTG